AAAAACAAAAAACCATAAAAGTCTTTCATGACATAATAAAAACGATAGGTGCAACTGGCTTTTGTTTGGTTGGTTTGAGACACAGTCTTGCTATGAACTTTAGGCTGGCCTTGGACTCGTGACAATCCTACCTCAGCCTCCAGAGTGCTGGGATTACAAGTGTGTGCTACCAACCTAGCTAGGCATCTGTATGTTGGTAGACTGGTTAGCTTTACCCATCTCTCCAATTTAGCCAAGCAATCCTGTGACCCACTGGTATAGGATACTACCCATTCCCAAAAGCTTCCCTTGCCAGCAGTAGGAAATAGCACAGAATACTTGCCTCCTATGCACAAATGATCCACATACAAGGGAAAAGGGCCCACTGACCTCTGAACTAAACTGGGGAGGAGGGCTCCCAGGAATCAAACACAGGATCTTGAGCTTGCCAGGCAGGTGCTTGTGCCACTGAGCTATACCTCTGACCCCTGATTCTTAAAAACAATATAGAAACTAGATTTTAGAATTGATAAGGGGAAGGGCCAGCCTTATAGTCTGTTGGAGAAAAAACAAAACCAGAGTTTGCAGAGGCCCCAGGCTTGGTGCATCATGGTTCCCTCAATCATTCTTACATAATAAAATAATCGCTGTGTGATGTTGGGAATTGGCTTCATACATGCCAGGGAAGTACCCTACCACAGGTAGAACTCCCTCAGTCCCAGGCCCCCTTTCGGCTCATTCATGCCAAGAACTGCTCTACCCTGAGCTACATATCCCCAGCTCTTAAAAATGATTTTTTAAGACAAAGTCTCAAACTAAGTTGCCCAAGCTACTCATACTCATGATCTTCCTGCCTCAGCCTCCAATACAGCCGGGTTTACAGACAAGGGCCACTGTACCTGACACAAATAACTGCCTTGTTCCTTAATCACCACTAAGAGCTCTGATGAGGCTTACAGGAAATGGGGGTGGGAGGTGGTGTTGCAGATTTCGCTTCTGAATGAATTCACCTTCAAATTCCTTTCCACAAGGACAGGAAAGCCTTCAGGCTCTATATAGTCTCTACAGAGGGGATCGATGTCCCACTCCATTTCTCTGCAGCAAGTGCAATGGGAGCCACCCGGTATTCTGTGGACATCAAGACAGCAAAGTGATTTCCAGGCAGCTCTTCAGCTAACCACTGGATGACAGCACACACATTCCAAACCCCACCACCTCCATTCCTCCTTCCTCGAGTCCTCCCCACCCTTTGGCTATGGCAAGGATTCTCCCCTACTTTAGATGAAGGCACCAAGGACTCAGGAGAGGTTGGCAGTGAGATACCGGTCTTCCTGCTTAGCCCTGAGACAAGCTCTGAAGAAAATTCTACAAGGTCAATACAACAGGATAAATGTGAAGCAAAAGACACAGGAAATAGTTCTGCTTCCCTTCTCATAAGTGACATTGAAAGGACTGAATTATTTCATTTGATTTGTAGATTGTAAATTACTGACCTCTTGTTCCCGTTGAAAAATAACAACTCTGCCACCCTTGTCTCCTGTTGCAAGAAGATCTCCAGAGTAATTAAATTCAACAGTTGAAATGATGTCAGCTGTCAATAAAATAGAGAGGCAATTACTGGCTTTCTGGGAGGAGTCACAAGGAATATCAAAAATCAAAAAATGAACACACACAAAACTTTCTCCCTGAACAAAGAAACCTCCATGGCATACTTACACTAAATATTACAGACAGTCTGTACTCTATATCTATGTCTGGATAAAAATCAACATTCCTTTAATAACGATACCACTATAATGAGACAGTATTGTGATTTCTGGCCCCATAATAAAGATCTTGGGGCTCACCATAAATAAGATCATGTGGGTGGGTCAAAGAACAAAAATAATTACTGGAAAAGTTCTTTGTTTCCCTGAGGCAAATACTTTGGTTTAGAGGGAACAGATCTGGAATTGATGGCTGTTTTTCCCTCCCTCTAATACTGAAGACTGAATCTAGGTCCTTTACAATGAGTTACATCTCATCCTTTCTTTTTTTTTTTTTTTTTGAATTCTGAGATGGGTTCTCACTTGTCCCAGTTGGGTTCAAACTTCAAATTCTCTTGTCTTAGCCTCTCAGGCTGCTGATATTGCAGGTACAGACCATCCCACTTGGATAATACAGACCATTAAGTCAAGAAAAATATCCCAGGGCTGTGCCTTGAAAAAAGATCTGACATTTTCAAGAAAAGGCTCTGTGATAGACTCTAGAGGAACCTTGTCTGTGGCTCCGCTGTGTGCCATGCTGCCTGAAAGAGAAGTAGGTGAGGCACTAGTTCTGGGCAATGAGGGATGGTTTGGGTGTGTCCCGTGACAACTGGACACTGCATCTCATCCTCAAGAACAGCTGTATCAGCCAGAAACTCATCCCTACTGCCAGGCACCAATGCACAGGCCTGCAGAGCAGTCATTCAACACACCAAAGCCTGCAGCTGCACTAATGAAGTTTGCAAACACAAAACTACACAGCTATTATAAACAATGATCTACTACTAATAATAAATGAACTTGAAACTGCCTGCCAAAAATGGCAAGAAGAGAATGTAATTCATAAAGGTTCACGCAAACATTTCAGTCAAATAGTCATTAACATGTAGTTTCCTGCCAACATTGGCCAAGTGAACTTGATGGTGCTGGGCACTGCTCACTGCTTCTACATCTAAATTCCACTGTTAAGGGATTGCTTTTTTTTTTTTATCTTTCTGAGACAGGGTCCTGCTATGCAGTTCAGGCTGGCCAAGAGCTCACTTTGTAGCCCAGGTTGGTCTGGAACTCACAAGTGATCCTCCCGCCTCAGCCTCCTGAGTGCTGGGATTATAGGTGTGAATCACCACACCTCGCTGAGAGTACTTCCTTTAAAATTAAAAACAAAAACAAAAACAAAAACAAAAACTTCAGGGGCCGGGGAGATGGCTCAGTGGAATAAGTGCTTCCCTGGGCAAGCGCAAGGGCCTGAGTTCAATCCCTGGATCCGCAAGAAAAAAAAAAAAAATACTACCAGGAAAAGAACTTCAGTCGGGAGTTCTATATTCAGTGAAAATATCCTTCAAAACAAGGGAGAAATAAAAACAAAAACTTCTGTGCAACATAGGAAAAGCATTACGCTATTTCTTATCAGAAGCTTCTGTCTCAACATTTTTATAGTGCTGAATACTGAAGTCAGGACTTTGTGTATGCTAGCCAACTGAATGAATTGAACTGAATTCTGAGATGGGTTCTCACTTGTCCCAGTTGGGCTCAAACTTCAAATTCTCTACTACTAAACTATACATCCAGTCCATCATTCTTAAATTACTCAAAATAACCTAATGTACATAAATGAAAATAAAATGTTCTATATTGGAGCAAAAGAGACTAAACTTAGGTCATTCATACCCAAAGGATATACAGTATTATACAAGTAATGGTATTTTGGCAATGATTTTAAAATTTAATTAAAATAGACTGAGGGTTTTATTTTACAGTGGTGATTGAACCCAGGCTAAATTCCCTGCTTTTTTCATATGTATGCATGTGTTTGCTTATTTTTATTTTGAAACAGGCTCTTGCTAAGTTTCCTATCCTTGGTTTTAACCTACCTGTCTCAACCTCCAATAATGCTGCAATTACAGGTGCAGCCATCATGCCTAGCTTGGACTGAATCTTTTATTTATTTATTTATTTTTATTTGAGAGAGAGAGAGAGAGAGAGAGAGAGAGAGAGAGAGAGAGAGAGGCCAGCTCAGCCCACCAGGGGGCGGGGCTGGCTGGCATGTGGTGCTGGGGGATTGAACCGCGGTCCCTGATGCTTTGCCAAGCTTGTTCTAAGTAGGTGCTTTAGACCACTGAGCCATCTCTCCAGCCCAAGACTGAATCTTTTAAAAAAGAAACTGCAATAATTGCCAGTGCTGAGAAATAATTTTCATTAAGTCACAAACATGTATGGTCTTGACGTCAGAAATACTCTCTGTAAAGCTTAAATAAACCCTAAACCCAAAATAAATACACAAACTATATGCCAACAAAATTACAAAAGCAGTAAAATTTAAATTATCCAACATCAATTTATTTGATAGAAACTGTTTCACAAAACAAGACTGATGCTAAAAGCATAAACACAGTACTGACATAGGACTCTGCATATTTCAAAACCACCATCTATTTTTGTTATGGTTCATGTATAGGTGTCCCCCCCAAACCTTACTCAGCCTTGAGGCAGCCTCTGGAGTTTGTGATTGATCACTGTGGGGTGGATGCTGCACCCGCTCTGGGGCACATACTCTTCTTTACAATGTGAGGAGGGGAGAGAGGCTTACTAGCTGCCTGAAGGGCTGCCATTCCCTTCACTCTTTTGCTTTTGCCACCGCCATGAATTGCTGCCCTCTGCCATGTGCCACTCTGTCTTCGAGCCAGCTGAGTATGAAGTGAAACCTCCACTGACTGTGAGCTAAATAAACCTTTCCTTCCTTCATTTTTAGTGTCGGGTATTTGTCCCAGCAACGAGAGAACAGGAAATGAGACAGCTCTGAAGTGACTTCAGTCTGCCTCCACTTTTTTTCACTAGAAAGGCTGTACATAGCACAGCCTAAGAGCCCCTGGCCATACCATGGAAGCATTAGCTCTACTTAGCCAGAGAGTGGTTCCATAAACCGTGCTGAGACAGTTAGCTCTAAGGTGGTTGTCTTACTGATTCATAACATCTTGCTGAATGTTTAGATCACACCAAAGCCTAGCCATTACCAGCAGCCTGGAGAGGCCACCTCAGACTTCTTGTTGAACATGAACTGACCATGTACTCAGGGTCCTTTTCTACCGAGGGATGAGAAGAAAGTTGTATACACTGTGTTGAAGAAACCTGTGTTCAGCAGCTTTCACATATACTGTGGAGGCGGCACAGGAGAAGTTGCGTGCAGACTGTCACCTAAGTGTACACATGTGCCAAGCCTCACGCCAAGTTCAAGCCAGGTGCTGGCACAGAGATGAATGAAGTTTGTTTACAGAACTGCTGGATGCACAAGACTCCACCCCATCCTGTCAGGATCACTATTTCCATGTCCTGTTCCTCAGACGCTAACTACCTGGAGCTCAGCAATCCACCTCTTCTCAAATACCTCTCTGAACATTTGGGGTCCTCAAAGTCCACCTGTTCACAGGTAACTTACTGGGTTCACTCTCAGACATAACCTGTACCTCAGCTCTGTAGACACATAAAAGAAGTTACCAAAAGAAAGGAGCGATATGGTGTGTTAAATGCGTCAAAACTAAGCATCAGTGTCCAAGGAGCTGCCACCTCACCACAGAGCCCGCACTACCACAGGTGGGGAAGAGTGGATGGGAAGGGAGGGGAATGGGAGAAAAAAAGAATCAAGTTACATTATGTACGGGTACAAATCCTCTACGATGAATGTGATCATTATGTATATCTAAGGTATACCAGGGCTGGGAGATAGCCTGGTGGTCGAAGCACCTGCCTGACAAATGCAAGGACCCAGGTTTGATCCCTGGTACCAAATACCGTGCCACATGCCTGTACTCCCAGTGCTGGGGAGGCTGAGACAGGAGGATCATTATAAATTTGAGCTGCATAGTGAGACCCTGTACCAAATAAATAAATACATTTTTAAAAAGATTTCTGGGGGCCAGGGAGATAGCTCAATAGAATAAGCGCTTCCCTGACAAGTGCAAGGGCCCGAGTTCAATCCCTGGTTCCGCAAAAAAAACAAAAACAAAAACAAAAACATTGTAACATGTTGCTTCTTGATCATTTAAAAAAATCTATACCAATAAAGTCTGATTTAAAAAAAAAGACGGAACCTAGGTATGGTGGGGCATTCCTGTAATCTGAGCATCTCCTGAGGAGGTTGAAGCAGGAAAGAAATTCCTAAGCTAAAGGCCATACTGGACAATACGGCGAGACCTTGTCTCCAAAAAGGAAAAAAAAAAAAAAAAAAAAAAAAGACAATATTTAGTGCTGTCCAGAACCAAGAAGAAGGAGTAAAAGAAGCACCAAGAGCAGAGAGGCAGAGCCAGGTGAGCTAGCTGAGGACTGAGGCTGCATCCCGCTGGCAGAGGTCAGGGTGTGTGCACAGCCCAGGAGCAGTATATGAGCCCCTCAACTTGGCAGCGTATTTTTTCCATGAGGCACAAAAAACATGATCTGTTAGTAGTGAAAGGGATTTGGGCAGCATGTGAAGTCTTTTCACTTGAGAGAAGGGTGACTACTTCATAGATATGCAGGCCACGAAGAGCCAGGTGTGGTGATGCATACCTATAATCTGAGCACTCCAGAGGCTGAGGCAGGAGGATCAGTCAGTTGGAGACAAGCCTGGACAACAGTGTGAGTTCAATGCCAGCCTGAATTACATAGTGAGACCCTGTCTCAAAAACCAAAAGCAAGCAGCCAACCACCATCTAATCCACCTGGGATTGATTAACTGATTTTTTATCTTTTTGTGACAGGGTCTTGTTATGCAGTTCAGGCTGGTCTTGAGCTTACTTTGTAGCTCAGGCTGGCTCCAACTCGAAATGATTCTCCTGCCTCAGCCTCCTGAGTGGCGTGTGCCACCATACCTGGT